ACCTACCTACCTACCTACCTACCTACCTACCTACCTACCTACCTACCTACCTACCTACCTAGCTAGCTAGCTAGCTAGCTAGCTAGCTAGCTAGCTCGCTAGCAGTAGCACTTACATACCGCTTCACAGTGTTTTGCAGCCCTCTCTAAGCAGTTTATGCAATATCAGCCTCTTGCCCCCAATATTCTGGCTCCTCCTTTTACCCACCTTGGAAGGATGGAAGGCAGAGTTAACCTTGAGCTGGTCGGGATCGAACCTGGCTGTGGTCAGAAGTTAGCCTGCAATACTGCAGTCTAACCTCTGCGCCTTCCTTCCTTCCTTCCTTCCCTCCCTCCCTCCCTCCCTCCTTCCCCAGTCCAGAGATCTCAAAAATAAGGGCTCTTCCTTTCACTCACAAACAGAGTGGAAAGTCCCAACTCCCCCTTTCTGGCATGGAGTGTCCCTCCCGTCGGACACAGCGCCCATCATTGTCCCTTCCTTTCCCCCTCTCTTGGCGTCTGCTGGGCTGGGGCTCGGGGCTCGAAAGGCCCACCCCTCCCTAATCCCTCCTCTCCTCCGGTCTCTCTCTCCCCCCCCGCAGGCTCGAGGGGCCAGGGGGCTCCAGCGTGCCCTGCGCTCCCTCTTCTGCCCCCGGAGGCTCTTCTCCCTGCTAGCCACCGCCTACCTCTTCGGGATCCACGTGCTGCTTTTCCTCCACGCCGTGGGCCGCTTGTGAGAAGACGGGGGGCACCGGAACATGGAACCATGCCTGGGGGACGCTGCTGGCCTGGACGGGGGGTGGGTGGGCGGCTCACTCCTGTCCTGGCTGAGGCTGCCAGAAGTCGAGCTCAATCCTGGCCAGTTAATGGAGGCGACGGCCTTACTTAGCCAGTAGCGATGCAAGGTTTGTGCGGCTCCTTCCAGGGAGGCGCCTGGGCTCTCCGGGCCTCGAATGCCGGCCGAATCGGGCTTGCAATCCTCGTTGATTTGGGGAGGGGGGAAAGGACGCCCACCTCCCATCCTTTTGGTGGCACTAATCATAATCCGCTACGGTGGAAGCCCCTGCAGGAGGGGACCTGGATTCTGGGACAGGGGACGGGGAGACTGGACTCCCCTCTAACTCACCTTAAGCACCAAGTTCTCTCTTTCTGCACATTTTGGGGGAAATATCGCCCCTAAGGCAAGCTTTCTGGATCTGGGGACCAACCTAGGAGAGAGGGGAGAGGGGATGGATCCGTGGAAGCGGCGGGCAAGGACACACGTATCATACATGCGCTTCCACTTGTGCGAGCGGCAGGCGAGCCTCTGCCCGTGGTTGCTCGCTGCTCGTACAAACAGAGTGTTGTGTCCCCGTGGGGATGCTGACACGCACGCAGACGCTCACCCACCAGATGAGCCCAGTTCCGAAGGGCTGAAGGTCCGGCAGTGGGGCTGCAGCCCCAAAAGAAAGGGGGGGGGGTGTAACCCTCTTCTCTCCTGTTCTGGAGGGTCAAGAAGGGAGGAAGCGTCCGAAGTCCCTGCAGCTGGACAGCCCCCGACCGTCCCATCCGCAGACCTCCGGTGGTCACTTAATGGAAGATTGTCCACAGATCCCAGAGCAGGAAGCCACGTTGTGGGTTATGGGCCAGGAGGTTCCCTTTCTGGCCACTGCTGGTCTGGCCTGGGATCTGCCTCTCGGACAGGGGCATATGGGGGTCCCCTCCCCGTGGTCTGGGGGTGCCCTTTATCCCCTCCGCCCGGCCTTCCGGTTCTCTACCACCCCCCCCCCCTTTGTTGTGCAATAAAGATGTTTATTTTTCTGAGCGTCTTGAGTGCGAGTGGTGTTTTGTCCGAAGGTAATCCGGGAGTTGATGGTGTCTGCTTGCAAAAAAGGTCATAAATTGGCCGTGACTCGCTTAACGACTTCCACATGTCGAGGACTGTGACTAGTGAATCATCTCCTTTCAACGATCCCGTAATCCCTTGCGGCGTGGAGCCTGGGTACCTGAATGGAGCTAGCAGAGCGTTGGAATGGCCGGATGCCCTTCCTGTCGCCGATGNTTCCCCAGCCAGCATTCGCTGGCTGGGGAATTCTGGGAGTTGAAGTCCAGACATCTTCAAGTTGCCAAGGTTGAGAAACACTGTTCTAGTCCAACTGAACCTCTGCCATTACAGATCAATTGTTGTCCAATCTCTTCTTGAAGGTTTCCAGTAATGGGTCGCCCACAATTTCTGGATTCCAGCTGTTCCACTGTTTGGTTGACTAATTAACAGGATAGCCAAGTTGGAAGGGAACTTTGAGGCCTTCTAGTCCAACCCCCTCTACTCAAGCAGGAGACCTTACACCATTTCAGACAAACGGTTGTGCAGCCTCTTCTTAGAACCCTCCATTGATGGAGCCCCCCAACACCTCTGAAGGCAACTTCTCTTCCACTGGCCGATTCTTCTCACTGTCAGAAAGTTTCTCCTCAGTTCAAGGTTGCTTCTCTCCTCCTTGATGAGTTTCCATCCGTTGTTTCTTGTCCTGCCTTCTGGTGCTTTGGAGAAGAGGTGGAACCCCCCCCTCTTCTTTGGGGAAGCCCCCCAAATATTAGAACCCTGCTATCATTTCGCCCCTTCTCTTGGAGTAGACGTACCCAATTTCTGCAAACTTTTGTGGAGATCTTTGCATGAGGTCCTTGGTGGTCTACTAGGTAGCATCTGATGATGCTACCTAGTTGGGTCACGAAACGCCTGCGAGAAAACCTCCGAGCTCAGGGAGCACCAGGGACCCCCCTCCTTTCAACCCCCGAGCGGCTACAGATGCTCTCCTCGGTTGAGATCAGAATCGGTGGTGGGTGATCCTTGACCTGGTTTGGTCCCAAGGAGCCGATCTCCTTGGGAGTTCTTGACAAGCAAGGTCCTCCTCTCCTCTTCCTCCAGCTGGTGGAGCTGAAGAACCTGCAGCAGCAGTACCTCCAGGTGGGGGTGGACACGGCCGAGATCGCCCGCCTGAAGGCCCAGCTCCAGCAGAAGAAGCAAGAGATGGAGCAGCAGCAGGAGATCTTCCAGGAGAAGCTGAAGCAGGAGAGGGCCTCCTGGGAGCTGGAGCTCCAGCAACTCAAGTGAGGCCACGCAGGGAGACCCCCCCACCTGACAACCTCCAGTGGGGGGCGTGGATTTCTTACCTCTCTAAGCAAGGCGGTTTTTAACTGAGTCATTCCTGGCTTTGCAACCTGTTTTGCCCGGTCGTTAAACAAATCGTTGCAGTTGTTAAATGAATCAAGTTTTCCCCACTTTCACTTTCACTTGGGGGCTTGTCTTTTTTCAGGGAAGAAAAGGCCGTCTGGGAACGGGGCAGGCAGCAGAGAGACCCCAGCACCCAGGGGGCAGAGAAGCAGCCCCAGAGGGAGGTGAGTGGCTCCCCCTGGAGGACAGGAGGGGCCATGTAGTGTGTTGGCATTTTTCTTTTTTAAAATTTTTATTACTTTGCTTTACTTTTTAATTTATGTTCTTTTTTATTTTATTTTATTTTTTATTTTATTTTATTTTATTTATTTTTTTATTTTATTTTATTTTTTATTTATTTTATTTTATTTTTTATTTATTTTATTTTTTATTTATTTTATTTTTTATTTATTTTATTTTTTATTTATTTTTTTATTTATTGTTTTTTATTTATTGTTTTTTATTTATTGTTTTTTATTTATTGTTTTTTTATTTAATTTATTTTTATTTTATTTTATTTTTTATTTATTTTTTATTTTATTTTATTTTTTTATTTTATTTTTATTACTTTTATTTTTTATTTATTTTATTTTTTATTTATTATTTTTTATTTATTGTTTTTTATTTATTTTATTTTTTATTTATTATTTTTTATTTATTGTTTTTTATTTATTTTATTTTTTATTTATTGTTTTTTATTTAATTGTTTATTATTTTATTATTTTTTATTTTACTTTATTTTACTTTACTTATTTTTTATTTTATTTTTATTTTATTGTTTATTTGATAAATTTACACCCTGCCCATCTCTCCCCCAGTGAGTCGAGACAAGCTTAAAACAGTCTTAAACAGGAGGCTATATAAAAGGTGAAAACAGCCTGTGTTCAACATGGGCTAATGAGCTAAGGAGGAAACCAGAGCAGTGTCTTCTGCACTAACCGAGTGGTCAGGTGTCCGTGACCTGGTCCAATGGCTGAGCTTTTGAAGGCTCTGCTCTCCTCTCTTTAAGCTGGGCCTCCCGTGGCAGCGAGAGGGTTAACTGGTCAGTCAAGGTATTGTACCCACAAGATGCCCCTCGTGGGTTCCTGATATTTTTATTCGGTAGCATTGGATATTTCCTTCTCCTGACCCTGCTGATATTTAGTGGTATCGGTAACAATTGACCTTACTTTAAATTTGTGTTCATCTCTCCCCACTCCTCACCACTTTATCTTAAGAACACATTTTGCAAGATTATCATACTTGTCATTATCGAGGATGCCAAAGTTTACGTCTCTTTGTTTAACCGTATTTTGCTGGACGTCCCTCACACCACAGAAGCTGGGCTGACTTGTTCACTTAAAACCCAAAGCAGGAAATGGCTTTAGCACCCTTACGGCCCTTCCTCAAACACCCCTCCCCCCCACCAACCACACAATTTGCATACATGCTCTTAGCGTCTGTCTCACGTTCAGCCTCTGGACCACAACTCCCATCGTTCTATGCGTCCTGAGAAGGTTTGGAAGCCGCCCGTGAACCCTCCCAGGACAGAACGAGTCATGGGAAGATCTTGTTGGGCAAAATGTGGGCAGCAGCTGACTGGGCCTTTCCACAGGGGTCTTCGGGGACGACCGGCTCCGGCAGAGACACATCTGGCCAGATGGCATCCATGGAGGACCTCCAGGTCCAGCTTGGGAGCAGCTTGAAGCACCTGCATCAGAAGGAGCTACGTATCCAGCAGCTGAACAGCAAGGTGGAGAAGAGACCTGGGGCCGGGAGGTCTTTTCCAGGGGGCTAACTGTGGGGAGAGGATGTCCCTTCTGGGAAGCTGGCTCTCTCCAGTCCAACCTCCCGTGGTGGTTCAAGCGTCTTCTGGATGTTGGGCTTGTCTTGTGCTCTGAGTCTCCAAACTTGGCAACTTGAATTCTTGTGTCATGCCCCCATCGGAGCCTGAATATGGGGAGGAAGGCAAGCCAGGAATGGAATCGATGGCGATCGAGAGGGCGGCTTCATTGGCTTGGGGGGGAAATGGGGAGGAGCAGGGCCAGTCAGGCCAGGGCCTTTCAGGATTGGGGCGGCTTGTAGGCAGGGAGGAAGGGGTGGGAAGGATGACCAAGAGAGGCTAAGCAGTGAACATGAGAGACAGAGCTCAGGCGAGGAGCAAGGACCCCCCACCTCCTGATCCAAGAGCCCGGAGAGTGGAGAGAAGGCGAGAACAGCGCAGGCTGATCAGACTACGCGGGAGGAGAGCGGGGACTGAGACTTAAGGAGACGCCGTGGAGAGGGGCATTTGTCGGGAGAAAACACTGAATTCCTGGAGTACCAAATGCTGACCTTTGAACTTTCCTGGATTCCTCGCATTCTTTCTGGATTAATTGCCTTGCTGCTGTGATTCCTGGATTCCCAGATGTGCCCTGCTAGATTCCTTGCTTTGCAGCCATGGGGCTCATAACGTTAGGCTGGACTAGAGGCTGCTGGAGGTGTCTCTGTGTCTGTGTGACTGTGTGTGTGTGTGTCCACTTTGCTCTGGGACTTGCCAGGAACGTGGAAGCGTTTGGGGCAATTTGGAGCAATAAACTCCCAGCTGCCTTTGTTGCCTCTGTGCTATGCCCCGTGACATCGCAACTTGTGGACTTCAACTCCCAGAATCCCCAGCCAGCTATGAATTCTGGGAGCTGGAACTCCACAAGTCTTCAAGCTGCCAACTTTGAGACTCCTCCTCTTTTTAAGTCATGGCTTCTTTTAGCCATGGTTTGTTGAGGGCCCCCAGCAGTTGGGGTGGGGGGGTGGGGAGAGGGTGTCGCACTGAACCCAACGCAGCCAATATCCTCACGAACATCTTGTCAATCCAGCTGGCTACCTTCAGGCCTCCATTGGGGTGTTTTATGCTGGTGGGTGGGCTCTGAGAAGACTCCCGCCCACCCCACCTCTCTCTCAGCCTCATCCTCTGGCTCATCTCTCCAGCTCTCGCAGGTCTTCGAAGAGAAGAACGCGCTCACCCTCCAACTCCGTGGCAGCAGCCGCAGCCTCCGCGAGAGCCAGCAGCAGCACAGCGAGGCTCTGTCCCGTGTCGCGGCTCTTGAAAAACAGCTGCGGGAATGGCAGAGTCCGGCGAAGACCGTGGTAAGGCCAGGGAAGAGGGTCTGGGGGTCCCCCGTCTCATAGCCCAACCGTCTTCCACCCGGGTCAGGGGGGGGCTGAGTGGGGAGGCAGCCTCCAGGATCCAGGCCTCTGCTCCTGCCACCCTTGTCCCCCCCAAGGGTGGGAGGGAGAACAGCTGCTATGTGCATGGGGAAGAGGTCGCCGTTTTCTGCGCCGAGGTGGCGCAGTGGTTAGGGTGCAGTACTGCAGGCCACTTCAGCTGACTGTTATCTGCAGTTCGGCGGTTCTAATCCCACCGGCTCAAGGTTGACTCAGCCTTCCA